GGCAGGAAGCAGACGTGGGGTTCAGCACGGGTACCTCGCCACCGTAGGAAGCGGCCGCAGCGAGGTGGCTGTTTCAGAATCCGGCCCTTTATGAAACACCTGCATCCTATGCCTCCTGTGCTGTGCGCCAGTTGAGATGCTTTAGAAACGGGAACTCCTTTAATTCTCTCAACAGCCTCAGGAACGAGCTCTGTTATTACCTCCACGTTCTGGAGGAGAAAACCGAGGCACAGACACTTGCCCAAGATCAGACAGTGGTGTGAGCACATGTCCTCTACTGTGCTCTGCTGAGATGGAAGGGGGTGGCCGCCTACCAGGATGAGGGCCTCGAGGAAGGAGAACTCAAGGACGCCCACCAGGATGATGGGAACATCACCCTGAACCTGAACGTGCCGATGTGCTGGCTTCTAGGTATTTCTGCTGCTACCACCTCCCCTATTAGCTGTGAGGTCCTTAAAGGCGGGAACCCTGAAATCACTCACCGCTTCCAAAAGGTAGCCCGTGTCAGACTGCATAGGTACCAGACGCCAAACGAGGAAGCCAAGAGCTTAGAATCCCCTCTGTCAGTAACTTGCTGGGTGGTGAGTTAGTGAACATCAGTTTCTACATCAGAGAAGTGAAAGCGTGCATACGTGATGCTTCCTCCTGTAGAACAAGCAAGGCTCGTTGGTTGCCCAACTGCAGAGGGTGCCAGTCACTTGGTGCTAGTGAGATAATGGAACAATGGCGCCCTGGGTCGTACAAGATGGGTAGGGAAGAGGCAGACGATCAGAGTATTTCTGGGGATGCGATGCGTTAAGGCAGTAATGTGTTCAGATCATGTTGGGGATAGCCAAGTAGGAGCTGCAACTATTATTATTAACTATTATTATTATTATCATCATGGTCTCTAAATTTCTTCGAGCTTGAACACTGGGTGTCTGAAAACACTCGAATGATTCCCGCCCCCACGTCCAACCCAAGAAATGAAGAAGGTAGTTTTGAACTTGAAGAACAAAAATCGTCTATAGGCAGACAATTTTCTCTCTTAACTGGTTTGTTCCTCCCACCGAGTTACCTCTGTTGAATTCATTGCGATCCCTTGTTGGCAACTTCTTCCCTGGAAATTTCCACCTCCAGGCAGAGGCTGACAAGACCAGCACCTTCACCTTCTCCACCTGGCTCTGGCTCTGTAGCTGACCGAAGTCATCTGCGGACAAGACATTTTTCTAGAGGGGACTGCTTTGCCTGATGGGAAGCACAACCTGGGATGTCTGTACATTGTTACAAGAAGCCTGGAGAAACAGAGATGGGTGTTCTCAAACTACTTCTATGGATACTCTTAGAAAGAAATCTAGACTAAAGGAATGCTTTCTGCTCTTTCTATGCAATATTCATCAGGTGAAGACCCTTTCCTCAGGATGTTTCCTGAGGAAGTGTGTGAGATCACACTTAGAAATGGTGTCTTCTGAGGCATTTCAAGAAATTCAGTCTTTTTTATTCATTCATTCATTCATTCATTCAACTAACTTTTATTTGGTGTTTAGGGACCCTGCATTCCCGGCATAGATTACCTATCAACTACCCTGTGTACTATTTATGTACAGGATTTTTAAATCCTCCCCAAGCCACTAACTTTGCCAACTCCGTGAGCCTCAGTTTTCTATTCTTCTCACAGGGACATTGTTGGCGTCGAATAACTTCATATGCATTACGGATGTCGTATGTAGATGGGAGGTGCCAATATTAGGGATATGAGGAGAGTGTTAGGGCAAGCCTTACCTGTGTAGGCAACAATAGAATTATTTCTGAGTAAGAAATGCACTTAGGTGGGGGCACTTGAGGGGCTCAGTTGGTTGAGCATCTGACTTTTGACTTTGGCTCAGGTCATGATCCCACGGTGGTGGGATCGAGCCCTGTGCCGGGCTCAGTGCTGAGCGTGGAGCTTGCATAAGATTCTCTCTCCCTCTGCCCACATCCCTCCTCCCCCACCGCTAGTGCACGAGCTCTTTCTCTAAAATAAAAATAAAAAAGAACACACTTAGGTAACTTCTCTCCGGAGGGCGAACAGGAGAGAGCCTGCTGTTATAGTGGAAAAACCAGGCTTCGGGCCCCTCGCTTTCTCTCGGGGCATGAATTAAGCCTTTAAATCCCTTTAGGGAGTAGGGGATGCCTCGCCTGCCACACACTTTTCCAAAGTCAGTAATCCCCCAAGTCTACTTGACTTCCAGAGTTTTTCACCAACCATTCACTGATCGCTGTTTTCCTGTTCAATGCATCTTCATAATGCACCTGCCAGTGTGCAGGAAATACCCTCCTTCCCATCTCCATGGCAATGGACTCCTGGAAAAGGCAGCCTGAACGGAAAGAGAGGCAAGGGCAGGTAACAAAATACTTCTTTTTATTAATTTTTTTTTTTTTTTATTTCTAGGAGAGAGAGAGAGACAGCATGAGCAGGGTAGGGTCAGAGAGAGAGGGAGTCACAGACTGAAACAGGCTCCAGGCTCTGAGCTGGCAGTCAGCACAGAGCCCAACGCGGGGCTCAAACCCACGAACCGCGAGATCATGACCTGAGCGAAAGTCGGACTCTTAACCGACTAAGCCACCCAGGCGCCCCCTCTTGGAAGCCTTTAAAACAGTAATGATTGCAAAGCAATTTAGTTTTCTGTGTTTTGGCTCACTGATAAGCAGTGTATGGGAGTCTTTCATGATTTAATCTTCAAAATCCACNTCACAGACTGAAACAGGCTCCAGGCTCTGAGCTGGCAGTCAGCACAGAGCCCGACGCGGGGCTCGAACCCACGAACCGCGAGATCATGACCTAAGTGAAAGTCGGACGCTTAACCGACTAAGCCACCCAGGCGCCCCATTATTAGGCCTATTTGATTCCTCCTAGGCAGGGCTTGGATGATTTGACCAAAATCTTAACCAGGTAGTGGAGAAGAGGAGGCTGAGTTGAGTGCTGTGTCTTCGTTGTGTTTACCAAGTCAGAGCTGAATGGTATGAGGAAGGTCAAGGTCCCTCTCTGGCTGCTCTGCTCCTGCCTGACTCATGTCCCTGGTAAGCCCATAAGCCTTTGAATTTGGAAAGGCACCATCTGATGGGGTTGCGTTCACAAGTATCCAGTCAGCTCTAGGAGTTCCAGAAAGCACTGACTGCTCTTGAGAACCTTAAGAAAATGTCTTTAATTTCAGGCCCCTCCTGTTCATTCATTAAATCCTTAGACTTCCTTTTGGAGCATAAGACAAGGCAGTTTCCTGGGCCACTGTGGACTTGACCACTTTTTATTTATTTTATTTTATTTTATTTTTTAAAATTTTTTTAACGTTTTATTTATTTCTGAAAGAGAGACACAGCGTGAGCAGGGGAGGGTCAGAGAGAGAGGGAGACACAGAATCTGAAACAGGCTCCAGGCTCTGAGCTAGCTGTCAGCACAGAGCCCGATGCAGGACTCGAACCCACGAACCATGAGATCATGACCTGAGCCGAAGTCGGCCGCCCAACCAACTGAGCCACCCGGTGCCCCACTTGACCACTCTTTAGATCTATGTTGGCTAGGGTGGCAGCCACATGTGGGTATCGAGCACTAAAAATGTGGCGAGCTCAGCATGGACATTTGCCATAAGGGTGAAATAGTCACCAGAGCCCCAAGGCCGAACACCAAAGGAGGAATGCCGATGATACCACGAGCAGGTTTTCAATATTGATTACATAGTGAAATAATAATATTTTCAATTAATTTAGTTATTAATTAAATATTTATTAATTAAAACCCAGAACATTTATCTCGTGACATTTATCTCGTTGAACTCCTTCAGATGAACTGGATGCTGCAACAGCCGCCCTCTTGGGTTTAGGTGTTGTTTCTTCACGAAATCTGTACCTGAATCTGCGGTACACAATTTTTAGGCATCTCATTTGACCGGTCCCAGTGATATTTCATCTCTTAGCATTGGCACTCCAGTTATACTTTCTCTTCTGCTTGGCAGGATAGCCACATTTGCCACAGGTCACCTTCTGCAGGTGACAGTTCTTAGAGCCATAGCGGTGGCATGACTGGCGTGTCTTACGGCTTTCTAAATGATGACGTCCCCTTCACTGTTGCGTTTCTGAGGCTGAGACCAAAGAGCTATTTTGAATATATTTAGATAAACTAATATTTTAAAATGAATTCCACATATGGGGTGCCTGGGTGGCTCAGTTAAATGTCTGACTTCCGCTCAGGTCATGATGTCGCGGTTCATGGGTTTGAGCCCCAGGTCGGGTGCTGTGCTAACATCTCAGAGCCTGGAGCCTGTTTCGGATTCTGTGTCTCCCTCTCTCTCTGTCTCTTCCCTGCTCACACTCTGTCTCTGTCTCCCTATCTCAAAAATAAATAAACATTTAAAAAAAATAAAATGAATTCTACTTCTTTTAATGTGGCTAGTGGGAAATTATAAATTGCCTGCGTGGCTCACATTGTATTTCTATTGGCGAGTGTTGGTCTTGGTTCTGAGGCTCCTACCTGAAGTGTCTTGGAGCCCAGATCAAGAGGTTTGGCAGAGACGCACGATGTAGGCCTGCTTTCACTGGGGGCTCTTCCACTTGCTCTCAGCTGAGGCCTCCCTCTGCCTGGATGCCATGATGAACTCAATCCCCCTTCTTATTTGACTTATTTTAAGAACTCTGAAATTTACTAATTATTTGGATTTTAGTATCCTAATGTGAAAAGTACTCTTTCTAACTGTTATGGGCTGAATTGTGTCCCTTCAAGATGTATACAAACCCAAGGGCCTCGGAATGTGACTGACTGTATATGAAGACCAGGCCTTTAAGGAGATGGTTAAGTTAACAGGAGGCTTTTAAGCTGGGTCTTAATCCAATCTGGCTGGTGTCCTTATCAGCTGAGGAAACCGGATGTAGAAAGAGGCACCAGGGATTTCCAGGCATAAAGGAAAAACTATGTGAGGAGTGAGGACACAGCAAGAAGACAGATGTCTGCGAGCCAAGGACAGAGGCCTCAGGAGAAACCAGACCTTCTGACGCCTTGATCTTGGACTTGTAGCCTCCAGAATGGTAAGAAAATTAATTCTGTTGTGTAAGCTGCCCAGTCTGTGGTATGCTTTCATGGCGGCCCTAGGAAATGTATACACTAACCTTTTTCTTGGTAGAGCTGGGGAAAGCTTAGTGACAAGAGAAGATGATTTCTCCAAGGCCAGAAAGCTACTTCCTGCGACAATCCGTTGGGGCCCCAAAGAAAGCTGGGAACACTTTTCCCTCATTGCTTCTGCCTGAGATCAGCGTCTGCTCTCCAGTCCCCAGGTCCGTATTGTGTGCTTGTCTGTCCCCTCTTCTATCAACAATCCTCTTTGTTCTCTGACAGATGATGAAGATTTAAGAAGCACCAGCGTCAGAGAATGGACGTTTTGAAGATATGAAGGAAGGGCTGACCTCAAAGTTTTATATCTAGGTCTATGGAAACACACAAACACTTTTTCTTCTAAAATTCCTTTGATACATTAATTTGAAGGAAAGATAAAGCCATATATATTGAAATATTCACAGGATTCTGAACACGTTTTTTGGTAGAAAGAATTTAGTGTTCTAGGAAATTTATTATCTGTTGGATAGTAGGGGCAACCAGAAGATTGGAAGGGAGGGTGCCAGGCCATATGACTTCTAGAGCTTTCTTCTAACTCTAAGATCAACAAATCTGCAACTTTCTGTCCTAGGGTTTCATCTGCTCTGGAAGGGAGCAATCTCAGGGATGGAAGGAGGGAGCATTCAGACCAGGTGCATCTTGGGGCTGGAGAATGTCAATGGAAGTTTCATCTTCACAGACGTTGCCTTCTAGAAAACAGAGTTAAGGTCAATCCCTTTGCCAATGAGTCAACAAACCGCTTTCTTAACCAGGTCAGTACAATAGCATAAAGGGCCTTAAGTCACATCAAGTCTCCTTAGAGAGAATTTCTGAACTTGTAGAACATGAGTCTATAAATTGGCTTGGACACAGATTTCACTGAAGGGAGAAAAAGTACAAAAGACTACAATAGACCCAAGGATTATTGTCGTGGCATTCTCTAGAACAGCTGTCTGGCAAATGTTACACCACGTCTGAGATTATTTTAGAAACTTTGTCTTGGAGAAGAATACGTAGGGAGAATACCAGACAGATTTGCCCCCCCCCTTTTTTTTTTAAATCACAGAATAAGAATTTCAAGGACATTTGCACCTTCAATGAGATCATCCCGGTCATGGTATTATTTTTTGAAACTTAAATCATGTCCCACCTAGTAAATTTATAGCCAAGTGTAGTTACAGCAGTGAGGTGATCCCGATAGTTATTTAGGTCTTCCTCTTCCTTTTCCTTATTATCATGATAAATAGAATATTCTAAACATGTTTTATTTCAACCAGTATCAACTGAAGCCCATCTTAAATGAAATATGTATTTAGTGGTGAACTGATCAATGCTATCTACTTTCTTCAGGGCCACCTGACTGGCTCAGTAGGTAGAGTTTGGGACTCTTGACCTTGGGATTGTAAATTCGAGCCCCATATTGGGTGTAGAGATTACTTAAAAATAAAATCTTAAAAAAATGATATCTACTTTCTTCAGTTTCCTTTCAGTCCTTATTTTCTGCCCAAATGTCATATTTTCTGGGCTCAGTGAAACAGATTATGCGGGGGGGGGGGGGGGTTGGGGAAGGAGGGAGAGAGAACAAATAAGAGGTGCGTGCAGTGGAATGAAAAGACAGTGAAGAGAGCATAATAAAACTCAGTGTAGGTAGGCTTTGGCGGGGGGGGGGGGGGGTGTGCAGTGGAATGAAAAGACAGTGAAGAGAGCATAATAAAACTCAGTGTAGGTAGGCTTTGGTGGGGGGGGGGTGGGGTGGTGGTCTATGCCTGTCGGGGAGACTGAGAGAACGGCCTGCTTGAACTCTTGCCGTATTCTTGCTCCCATCGGAATTCCAGGTGAAGGAGCCATTTGTCCACATGTATCATTTTTGTCAAGGTGGTGTCGGAACTCTGAACACTAGACTCACACCATTACCTGAAAATGCCACCTTAGCGGTTCCAATGATGCTGTCGGAGTGTGTGTGCGTATCTGTACTGGTTACTTTATACACTGATTATGGGGAGCTTTTGCAGCTCATCTGGAAATCTAACCATAATTTATAACATTTCCAAGCTCTAAATAATAATTAAAGAAAGGACTTTTGGATCACAGCAGGGCTGTGAGTTGGCGACAGCCTGTTCCACTTGGGGAGAGAAAGGAAGGTCCGTGTGGCCTACTGTGGAACTCCGTGCCAATATTCCAAACGTTCCCCAGGAGTATCATTTCTTCAAAACAAGGAGAGAAAAAATAGCTAGAGATCTGAGTGAGACCCAGCACACCGAGGGAAACTCTAGATGTTTGCAGACTTGAGTCACCTTTCCGCAAAGGAAATGGGTATGTGCTAACTACACGCTGCCACATATTCACAGCCTTCATTTTCTTCCTCTTCTGCCTTCTCCGGGTTATATTAAGCTTAATTATAGCTTCACTAGGTGTTGTAGATTTCCTAAAGTCTGCAAGAAAAATAGACTTTCCGATTGACCCAGACAATGCTGAGTGCATGAAGACAGTGAAGGAAGGAAGGAAGGAAGGGAAAGAGGAAGGGCGGGCAAGCCAACCATCTGCAGACAAGACGCCACACACACTGTATAATGTCTCTTTGGAAATTCATCACTTGGTAGTAATGGCAGTAGGACGCACGGGAGAATCCAACACAGGAAGGTGTACGGTTCTGTGTGGTGGGAAGTTGGTGTGGCCTTTGTTCCTCTTACACTGTGATGCCAGCACATTCATTTCTGGTGTCCCCACCCCACCCCCACTTTGAAGAAACTCAGCATTCGTGGTATAAAATTAGATTTTGTTTTCTTAAGAAAACATTTATTGAAACATTCCTTTTCGGTGGGAACCATGTGTCAATACCCTTTAGTGTTTTGTTTTTCAGGACTTTTTTTCATCGAATGGATCAGATTTAAAGGTAAAATGGAAGAGCCACTGCTCACTAAAGGTTGACTGTGAATGACATTCAGGCATCACCAGTTTAAGCTAGTGAAGCTATAGGACTCGGTTTCAGACATTCACCGAGTGCGTGTCTTCTTAGCGCGGCACCAGGCTGCCCCAGCTGACAGGTTACTGCCCTGTCCTTGAGGGAGGCAGCCTACTTCTTGGAAACAGTGACAAAAATAGGCTTAACATTCACTACTTTGACTTGGTTGTGTCGAAACTTCTTCTTTATAAAGTTTTTTTAACTTTTGAAGTAATTTCATACTTGCACAAAGAGGGCAAAAATGAAACAAACAACTTCTTTTGCGAGCCTGAATACTGTAATGTACAATTCTTACAGACAAGAAAAGTCTCCTACATAATTGGAATGCAATCATCAAAATAAGGAAATGAACACTGATGCCTTCCTATCATCCAGCTTCAGGTGCCGTTCGGGTTTTGATGGATCATGGTTCTTACAATAGAAACCCAGTTCAGGATCACCTGTTGTACTTCGTTGTCCTGTCTCTCACTTCTTTCACTCAGGGTGCTTCCTCAGTCTTTCCTTGACCTTTACAACTTTGATATTTTTGAATGTCACATTCTGATTATTTTGTGGAATGTCCCTCCATTTGCATTTGTCTGGTATTTCCTCCTGACTTTTCATTATAAAATTACTCTCTCTTGGGGCGCCTGGGTGGCTCGGTTGATTGAGCATCTGACTTTTGATTTCTATTCATATCATGATCCCAGGGTCTTGGGATCCAGCCCCATGTTGGGCTCCGCACTGGGTGTGGAACCTGCTTAAGATTCTTTCTCTTTCCCTCTGCCTCTGCCTCTGTCCCTCCCCTGCTCTATTTCTCTCTTAGAAAAAATTACTCTCTGTCATGAATAAGAATTTTATGCAGTGGTACTCTGAAACTATGCAAATTTCTCATTTCTCATTCAACCCCCCCCCCTAGTTTTAACATCTACTGGGTGTCTCTTGGATGAATTAATTATTGCTAAGATGGTTGCTAAATAGTGATTTTTAAAATCCCATCATTTCTCCCTCTATTAGTTGGTATTTTACTACAAGGAAAAACTTTCTTTCCTCTCTATTTTTTTTGCATTAACATGGACTTAGAGATTCCTATTTTCCTCAATAATTACAACGTATTACTACCACTATTTATTTTTGATAAAATGCCCCAGATTTGGCCAGTGGGAGTGCTTTCAATCTGACTTCGGTGTCTTGTTGACACATTCATCATTTGAGAGGCTGTGAATCTTTCAAAGAGAAACTCTGCTGGGCTCCACAGAAAGGGGGGGCTCTTCTTAGAGTCTGGGCACCTGGGCTGCACTCCTCTTGGTTTCTTTCATTCCTAGCTGGGGATCCTTGGGAGAGTGGCCCTTCTGCTTGAAAGCATAAAAGAGGGATAATCAATATCTGCATTATCTATAATACCGGCGTTGATTGAATTCAATCTGTGCCAAAGGAAGCACGAGTGCAATCTGATTAATCATGAAATTCAACATCCATCAACATTTCCTTGCATTTGAAAGCCATCTATGGTTAGATTTTCCTGATCTGAATGAGGATGGCTGAGACCATTGTAGAATGTCTAAAATCAAACAACTTAGGGGCACCTGGGTGGCTCAGTTGGTTAAGCGTCCAACTTCAGCTCAGGTCATGATCTCACAGCTCATGAGTTCAAGTCCCTTGTTGGGTTCTGTGCTGACAGCTCAGAGCCTGGAGCCTGCTTCAGATTCTGTCTCTCTCTCTCTCTCTCTCTCTGCCCCTCCCCCACCCCCTCTAGACTCTCTCTCTCTCTCTCAAAAAAACTTAACATTAAAAAAATTAACAAAATCAAAACAAAACCAGTTAGTTATAAATAGTCACTTTCAAAAGCAAAAATTCTAAAAGAATTATAGCTATATCCTATAATCCTTTAAAATCTCGTACATCTAAGACTTCTATCTGAAGATGTTGGACGTGATCTCTCTCCACCCTCAAGACTCTAAAATGCTATGCACCGTCCCCTGAGCTTTGATTCCAGGGGCTGTTTATTTTGAACATCAGTTTCTGCACAGCCCATAATCAGGGGTTCAACCTCGCTCCCCACTGGTGTTCCCTCTGGAGAGGAAGTGGACCAGTCGGGTTGAGTGAGCTGGCATTCTCCCCTTCAGACGTAATTGCGGCCCTGCCCTAGGGACTGGATAGAGAGAAAGAGAAGCTTTCTTCCCAGTCCTTTAGTACAACTGGCTTGTAATTCTTGCCCTTACGAATTACATTTGAGGGAGGGACTCATGAAGAAAAGATATTTGCCAAAGTGGGGCATTCGTGGCTGTAACAAATTACTACATACAGGCTGGCTTGAGACCACAGAAATTTATTTTCTTACAGTTCTGGAGGCTGGAAGTCTGAAGTCAAGACGTCAGCAGGGTCCCAGGCTCCCTCCAAGCTCTCAGGGAGGACCCTCCTTTGCTTCTTTCAGCTTCTGGTGACTCCCGGTATTCTTTGGTTTGCGGCTGCATCATTCAGTTTCTGCCTCTGGCTTCTCCTCGTCTTTTTTTTTTTTTTTTATTAATGTTTTTTATTTATTTCTAGGAGAGAGAGAGACAGCATGAGCAGGGGAGGGTCAGAGAGAGAGGGAGTCACAGACTGAAACAGGCTCCAGGCTCTGAGCTGGCAGTCAGCACAGAGCCCGACGCGGGGCTCGAACCCACGAACCGCGAGATCATGACCTAAGCGAAAGTCGGATGCTTAACCGACTTAAGCCACCCAGGCGCCCCTGGCTTCTCCTCGTCTTAATGAGGGCGCCTGTCATCGGTTGTAGAGCGCATGTGGGCAAAGCAGGGTGGCATTATCTAGAGATCCTTCTTTAATTGCATCTGCAAAGACCTTTTTCCAAATCAGGTCATATTCACAGGTTTGGGGAATTAGGATATGGATGTATCTTTTGGGGGGCCTAACATTCGACCCACTACAGGCGCCATGACTGATGGGCTCCTGGCTGGGCTGTGAATGCTTGGCTGCTGGTGGATAGGGAGGGTACCATTAGCAGCATCAGGGAGAGGGAAGGATGGAAGGAGCGTGCACGTGGCCCCTGCCGACGACATTGGTTAGTGCCGTCATCAGGGCCCTGCAGGCTAGTGAGGGCCATTCTGGGTACCCATCTCTCTTCCTTTCCAAAGGAGGATTCTGTATCAGGAAGTTGGGTTTGGCTCTGCCTCAGTCACAAACAGCCCCCAAATCTCAATAACTCGCGCACCAAATATTTTTTCTCGTGCTTCCTGAGACGTCTGACAGTCTCACTTGCAGGTCTGCTCCGGGTCACCTTGCCTCTGGGACCAGGCTGATGGAGTGGTAGATTTGGAACAGGGCCAGTCTTGTGGCCGAGGGAGAAGAGCATGTGGTAAGCCTCAAGGTGGCTCTTGAATCTTCTGCCTGGAAGTGACGGATCTCACTTCTGCTCGTTTCACCGGCCAGGGCAAACCCTATGACCAAAGCTGATGTCAGCAAGGAGGAGAAATATCATCTTTCCCCAGGGAGGGGAAGGGACTATTTATGAACCACAGTAAGGCAGGCCACGGGTGCCGTACGAGGAGCCCCTCTGTCTGTTCAGAAGCTGCAGAACTTTCCACACAGGGAAGATCGCTGCTCATCCAGGCTTTCTCCAAATCCTTGGCACCCTCTTCTCCAAGCACTGTGCTGTCGGCGTGTTCGGACCACACCCTACGCTCTATCCTGTGCTTCCCCGCCAGCCCTCCTCATTCTTCATCTCCTAGAAAAAAACAAAACAAAACATGTGGAGTTAAGAGTTTTATGCCCTTGTCTGCAAGGCTGCTATGGGAGCTTCGCTTCCTAAACATACCCCACGTGGAGTATTGAAAGCATGGCTATTTTCATAGCAGCCCCCGGAAGAATACTTCGCTCCTTCCTCGGTTTGCAGAGGCCCTAAGAAATGGTTAAGGACTTAGGCCCGAAGCCACAGATGGACTTAGTGGATCCCAGGAGCCTTCAACGGCTGAGGTTGAAGAGGCCTGAGGGAGGGGCAGGAGAGCTCGGATGAATCTGGGCTTCCACAGCTGGATTGCCAGCGCTCTGCAAGGTCCCGACATTGTATGTCAAATTGTGTGAGAGTAGGTGTCCAGTGTGTGTATATTTTCTGCCAGGAGCCACAGCTTACACCCTATTCTCAAAGAATATGCGACCCCAGAAAGATTAATAGCCACGGAACCTAATCTAATCCCTTCATTATATGGGTGATATGGAAACCGAGGTTTGGTTCCTTGGACCAAATGGACTATTAATCTATTTAATATATTAGCTGATAACTTCATCAAAAGCTTTCCCCCTAAACTTTGGTTTTGTTTCTGTGAGTTCGTTTCTCTATATTACACCATCTTCTGGGAGAAGGGAAGACACGTTGGAAAGTTGCATTGACTTTTAAAGCCACAAGGGGATCACTGGGGACATTCCTACCTCCAGCCTTCCCTTGGCCTCCGCGGGGACCCGTTAAGTCTCTAACAAGCACTTATAGTGCTGGCTTACCAGAAGGGCTTGCTTCGGGAATTTCACAAGACTGGGCCGCTGCTGTCTTGCACCGAAATTTACGTCCCATGAAGCGGAAAGGAGAATGACGCTGGCAGATGACAGAAACAGGATTGCATCAATACTACATGGCTACCAGGCAGAGAACCGATAGGTTTTAATACCACAGCTCCATTTATCCTTCTCTGTTTTCAGGCCACCGCTTGGAGGTGAATGGTATTTCCTTTTTGCAGATACGGAAACAGAGGGTCAATAATTCATTAAATATTAATTATGTAATATTTCCTAACAGGGTCCGTGGATGGGGCTTCCTGGGTCTGTGAACCCTGACATGAGCTGCAAAGGCAAGTATGTATCTGTATGTGCATGTGGGGCGGGGGGGAGAGGAGCATGTGAGTTTCATCAAATTCTACCCAGTTCTGTGGCTGTAAAAGGTTCAGAGCCGCTTCTGTTGTATAATGCTTGGCAGAATAGCCCAATCTTGGCACGGAACCCTATTTCTTGATTTCTCGCCTTCTTTGCCTGGGTTGCTCACCTCCACAAGCAGCAGGCAAAATCGAAAGCAAGAACCAGTGTGGAAGAGTCACCTTAGATAAGTTTCCATAACTCATCTCTGGCCTGGAAAGTTTAAAATCTTCCTCTCCTTATGAGAGTCCTGACGATGGTAGAGTCCCAGTAGGTGAAAGGGGAAAGAAACCCTAAAACATGTCAGGATTCACGGACGGGAAAGCCGAGGCCTAAAACACTGATCGCAGTCACGTAAGAAATCAGCGTTCGAGTTCCTATGCGTTCCTTTTTGAGAAATCAACTCCAATCTCAGCAGGGCGCCTCTTGCCAAAATTTCTTAACAAATGACAATTCAGGATGACTCATTTTTTTTTTTTTTGACATCATGCAAATGAGGGAACCAAGACTGAGTGGCTTTCTGTCCAGAGATGAGGAAATGAAGTCTGTCTGGGGCCACACGGTCCCCTGGGCATGTGGTGGTGTCAGAAATGGGTTCTGGAAGAAGTGGGCCTTTGTCCGTTTCTGTTTCGTGAGTGAGCTCCCGCTCTGGGCCGTGGCTGGAGGGGTGGTTTCGCACCCACACTCCGAGGGAGACTTAGGAGGACTCCCATTGAGGACTGCTCTCTCTAGAGCTGCCTTCAGAGGCCCCTGCTCCCCCCGCCCCAGCCTCCATTCCTTCTGAGGAAAGGATTAGATGTTCCGAGCCAACCAGTCTCTCACCTGAAGCAGAACCACAGTCCTTGGGCCCCTTACACCGAGGGTTCCAAGAGGGACCGAGCTAATGCTGTCATGGTGTGCAGATTTTATTTTTAAACGGCTTTTTGCCTCCCAGGCGGACTTCCTTCTGGCCCGAGGGACTCTGGACCTCTGTGACTTCTAGGAGGGGTGAAGTTCAGTGTCAGCCTCGCTGACGAGAGAGGTCAGTTGCAGAAGCTGGCCATGCCCTGGTTTCTTCCAAGGAGACAAAACAGTGCTTCTCAGAGGGGCCTGTAAGAAGGCACCTCAGAAATATAGTGATGTTGTTTCCTATAGAGTGGGAAAGCTGGAGGATCCTTTTATTTATTTATTTTAAAGTTTATTTATTTATTTTGAGGGGGAGAGAGAGAGAGTGCACACGTGCCCAAGAGGGGATGGGGCAGAGAGAGAGGGAGAGAGAAGCCCAACCAGGCTCTGGGCTATCAGCGCAGAGCCGGCTCCAACTGATGAACTGTGAGATCATGGCCTGAGCGGAAACCAAGATGTTTAACCGACTGAGCCACCCAGGCGCCCCTGGAGGGTCCTTTTAGTACTTTCCACTCAGTGGACAGAGGAGGAAGCTGAGGTCCACACGGGGTCAGTGGCTGCCGGAGAGAGCTGGACTGAGCTGGTGGGCTGGACCCTCTACCCATCAGTCTTTCTATATTCATTCATCACCCTGCAGGCTTCCTCAAGCTTCGGTCTCCATCCAGATTGTGCCACAGGTCACATTTGCGGGCCCTCAAGTCAAAATTTCAAGCACGGAAGCATACCGATGGCAAGATCTGCCAAATGGCATCTAAGGCGCTTGCTCTCTGGAACACACCGTAGTGTGAGGTGGGGCTCCTCGGGGCCTTTGCTGCCAGGGTACTGCACTCTCCTGCCTTAAATCCTCCGGGCGCAGGCCAAGCGCAGAGGCCAGGGCTCCTGCTATGACTTGGCCTCAGCAAGCTCACCATGCACACGTGTCCAACGTGAGTTTTGCGGGAACCGGTTCTTGTCACCTACCCGTGGAGACTGCAAGTCGCCCGCCCCTCCCTGCCCTGCACCAGCCCCTCTGGGTTGTGCTGGGGGCCAAAGGGGATTTGAGATAAAGGGGACACAGGTACAGGCCCCGCCCAGGCCCAGGGCGCGGAACCCGAGGCGGGAGGGTAACTCGGGGCCGGCACACTCCCCTCCCCGGGGATGGGGAGGGTGGCCCGGCAGCCAGAAGGAAAACTCCTGGGCTTTTTATTGAAGCCATAAAACAAAAGGTGAGGGGGTTTCCGGGCAGGGAAGGAATGCCTGGTTATTTACGGCCGCCGCTCTGCAGAGGAGGAGACCTCGGAACTCCCTCCAAGCGCGCGCGTGACTCACCTCCCCCGGGAGCTGCAGGGCCGCGGCGGGGCGGGCGTGCGCCGCAGCCCCGGCCCGGCACACTCCGGCCGCCCGCGCGTTTACGGCGCTTTATCGGCGGCTGTGCGCGGCGAGAACGTTCACGAAAGGAGGCGGCGTCTGCGGCGGGCTGGGCCGGCCCGCGCTCCTTTCCCACACTGATTAGGATCAGCCAGGGCTTTGGGAGCTGCAGTTAAGGATCTCGGGGGCCGGGAGCCGCGTCTCCCCCTTCCTGCCCCGCCCGCCTGCCCGCCTGCCCGCCGGCGGCCGGGCCGCGTGGGAGCGGAGGTCAGGGCCGCGGCCGGGCGGGGGTGGGGCGGGGCGGGGCGCGCGGGGGGGGAGGGGGAGGGGCCGCCCGCCCGCGGGGGAGGGAGGGCCCGGCGCGCGGAGCCCGGAGGGCAAGGGCAGGATCCTTCCCTCCCAGAGGCTTGGTGCCTGGTCGAGAGATGGAAGGGGGTGACGGGAGTACTTCTCCTCCCAAAGCCGGTACATCCTCAACCCTACACTGACTGTTCCAGGTCCTTTCCCCATCATTTCATGTGTTTTGTCTTTGTTTTGGTTTTTTGATTTTTTTTTTTTATTGTTTTGGGTTGTTTTTTTTTTTTTTT